CATACGTTGTGGTCGCTATATTCTTTTTAAATTCCTCAAGTAGAAGAAAAAATACACATTCGGAAATAACTATACATATAATATGATAATTTTATTTGTTTATTATCGATCATGCAGTGCACCGGGTGACATTTATCACTCGGCCTGCCATCGGATAATCGTCTGTTGTAGGTACCATGGAGCATTACTATTTTCAATAAAACTTTTAAAAAAAGTAAATAATAATAACACCCGTGTTTCATCCGCCATACATACGTACGAATACGAATCGATTTAGGTAAGTTTTAAAAATTAGATGGACATTGGACACATTTAAGCATTTCCAGTTCAAACTATTATAATATATTATATAGGTAGTACCTACTGCAAAAGTCAATGTGGTATAATACTAGTATAATACTGAATTATATGAAATATGGATATATCATTTTATAGGTGGTTCAGTCCTTGAACTATAGATATAATTTATCTAAAAATAGTTCGATAAATAATAAAATTAAAATAAATGATAGATGTAAATATATTTTTGATCAACTGAAATACTTCAATCAAATTTCAATATATCATGACATATACATAATATTTTGTTCATATTTATGTTTATATTTATATTTTTTTTTCCTTGGACTTTTTTCCACGATTCCATTATAATATATTGAGTATATTATTATAACATTATTATGATAAAGTCAGGATTATTTTTAAGCCTTAGATTCTCTCTCGGCAGCCATGAATCGACCACCAAGTCTTTTTTTGTCCAAAACTACTGTTTCTAATTCCAACGACACTTGTCAACAATTATCACAATTTTCATTCTGGAAAAATATTCGGATTGCCGTAGTATTTACAAGGGAACGATCGAGCGACATTTTTAATTTTTGTAATTTAAATTGCAATATTGTCAAAAATTCAAAAAAATTTAGAATTTCCAACTTAAATATTTAAGTAACCAAAAACAATTTCAAAAATCTGTATCGATCGATCTCTTGTACATGTTGTGGAAAATTAAAATGTTGTGGAATGCAAATTGAGATAATTGTTTCGACGTATTGTTGGAGTGAAAAATAAACATTTTTTCACGATCAGAATATTACATACTGACATGACCGTGCGAGTGCGCACGAGAACCCTATGTACCGTTACAATAATATTATTGACCTGCATGGACGCTACACACGCTGATAAACATCTACGACTAACCAATAACCATAAATCTCGGGTATTGACGACGAGATTAGAAATTACCTAAATTTTTCTCCTTAAATCAATGCTATAGCACAATATGCTATTAGGCCCTTTTTATTTAACATTATGTGACATGTGTTCCGAGAGATGGAAATGAAAAATGGTATAGTGCGTCGAGGCGTATATCGAATGCTCCGAAATTACCTTTTTAACTTTAAAAAATTTATCGAAAGACCATCGTGTATCTACTTCGGGGAACTTTTTTACATATTGATTTTGCCGGGCGCCGACTATCAATCCACTGAATATTTGTAAATTGTTTATTTTAATAATAACAAAATGTAAAAGGCTTATGTTTACAATTATGTTAGTAGTATGATTTGGGGGGTTCAGACCGCTGCACTCCACACCCTCCACACCCTCCACACACACACACATCCCACATCCCGCTGCACACACACACACACACACGATTATCGGCCACGTGCGTGAGGTATATTTTGGCCTTATCAATATCCACTCCTTATCAGTAACCACTTCATATCACTGATAACAGTTATCGGCCACGTGCGTGACGTATATGTTTGCCTTATCTTTACCTTTTTTTTTTTTTTTTTTGTTGAATCGCGGGGCTACACGCTTCATCCTGGATAGTCCTTCTCCCTGTATCCGCATCATTTATTTATAAATATTATTGTGCAAATTACAACATTTCGTTTATAATCTAAAGGCCTTAGCCTTTACATGGGTTAGAGGGCTCTATCCCTCCTAATTTCACCTTCGGTGCGCATATTATTTTCCTTAACTAAATTTAAATTATAACAGCAGCTCTTCCTCTTTGGACCCGCCTCTCCTCCTCTTCTTTTGTCGAGAGCACCATTCCTGTGTACTCCTTGACCGCCTTAAAATTCTCCGCATTCTGAAGCATTGCCGTCACGACCGTGTCTGGTTCCATTTCCGTTCCAATTTTTACCTCCAGCTCCCTTCTTTGCCTCCACCACCTGTCGCACTTGAAAAGAGTATGCTCGACGTCGTCGACCGGTGATCCGCAGTCCACGCATGCCGGGTCATCGCGCTTCTTAAATTTGTGGAGATAGTAGCCAAAACATCCATGCCCTGTGAGCATTTGAGTCAGGTGGAAATCCGTCTCCCCAAATCTAATGTCCGTCCATTTTCTGATGTCACTGATAAGCCTCTTGGTCCATAATCCCGTCTTGGTTTAAATCCACTGTGTCTGCCATTTCTGAAAGTCATGTCTCTCAAATTTCCCTCTTTGACAACTACACCTTCTTTCAGCGCTCTGAATTTGAATTGTTGCTCCTGCGCTTTTAAATTAGCAGGCACCATACCAGCAACGACTAAGATGGCGTTCGCCGATACCGTGCGATACGTCTTGGCTACCCTTAGCGCCATTCTTCTCTGCGGTCTAATGAGCGTTTTGACGTTGCTCTCAAACTCCAGACCATCAGCCCAGCCCGGGGCTGAGTAAAGTAATTGGCTCTGGACTGCCATCGCCACTACTTTCCGCTTCCACTGTCTGGCCCCTCCCACATTGGGAAGGATTTTCCGTAGAGATTCTGCAGTTGCTCCTGCCTTTTTAGCCGCCGTCTCAATGTGTAGTTTAAAGCCCAACTTCCGTGAAAGTTGGACTCCCAGATACCTCAGGTCTTCCTGCGGCTCCACGGCTACTCCTTTCAAGGAGAAGACGGGCTTTTCATAGGCTCTTTTTGTAGTCAACATCACCGCCTCAATCTTTTCGGCTGCAAGCGTTAGCCCTGTTTTATCCATCAATTCAGCTATTTTCGCCAGTGCGTTGTTGGTGACCTCTTCAAGTATGCTGGTTGTGCGTCCAGTCACAACCACCGCCACATCGTCCGCAAACGCTACTAGCGACGTGGATGACATGCCCTCGACGTTGCCGCCCGTGTCGATCCTGAGTAGCCCATCGTACATCAGGTTCCATAATAGCGGGCCGAGCACTGAACCCTGTGGAACGCCACATGTGTTGGGCCATGTCTTTCCTTCGTACCTAATTTCCCTGCTGCTGAGGTAGCTCTGCAGTGTGTCTACCAGGTATTGGGGAAACTGTTTTTCGCGTACGGCTGTTATTATGCTGCCCCATCTCGCCGAGTTGAAAGCGTTAGCCACATCTAAGGCCACCACGACGCACAGCTTCCTGTTGTACCATGGTCCTGTTCCGGCTTTGGTCACTGTGTCCATGACTCTTTGAATGGCGTCCACCGTGGAGCGCCCTTTCCTAAAACCGAACTGCCTGTCACTGAGATCATCGCTGTCGCTGAGATGTCTCTCCATGAGCCCCTTTATTATCCTTTCGAGCAGCTTGCCGACGGTGTTTAGCAGACAGATCGGTCTGTAGGAAGACGGGTTCTCCAGCGGTTTGTTGCCTTTCCGCAGCAGCACCAGGTTTGCCACCTTCCACGGAACGGGGAAGAGGCTGTTTTTGAGCAGACTGTTGACTGTGCTCCTCAAGATCTCCGGTTTTCTGCTTGCGACTTCCCTCACTATCACATCGGGTACCCCATCCGGACCTGGTGCTTTCCCCGAAGGAATCTTTCTGCATAGTTCCCGGATCTCCTGGCACGTCACTTCTGCAAATTTGTCATGGCTCTCTCCGGGTGGCCAAGTTATCTCTGGTTCCCTTTGGAATAAACCGTCAATGATTTTTTCTATCCTTCCGGGCAGCGAAAGTACTGGGATAGGCCTTCTCCCGACCAATTTCTTAGTGACCAATTTGTATGGAAGACCCCAGGGGTCTTTCTCCACTTGATCGCACAACTTGCTCCAGCAGGACTCCTTGCTGTTTTTGATGGCCTTTCTGAGTGCATTTTTTGCGTTTTTGAAGTCGCTGAGACACCGTTCTTGCACTTCGGCGGCTTTGCGGCGCATCCTCTTGCTTCTCCGCCTTGTCTTCTTGCAGTCATTCCTTAGATTTTCAATATCGCTATTCCACCAATGGACAGGCTTCTTGCCTCGCCTATACTGGCCTTTGGGCATGCAGCTGTCGCACGCCCCCGCAAGGTAGCTGTCCAGCGCAGTATAGGCAGTTACCGGATCTGTTCCCTCTTCTATGTTGCTAGTGTTTATGTACTGTATAAGTTTATCCTTATTGTATTTCCTCCAGGACCACCTTGGTTCCGTCGGATGTTCCTCTGTACGTCTCGTGTTCGTGAAATTATAAACGATGTAGTTGTGCAAGGACCCTGTGAAATCCTCGAGGACCTCCCAGTCTCGAACATTGAGGTGTTCGTTGCCTGAGACGAAGGTGATGTCTATGTGCGACCTTGAGATTCCTCCTTTGTATATTCGACAAAATGTAGGACTGTCGCCTTTGTTGCATGCCACCATGTCCATGCTTGCCATCATGTCTGCTAGTGCTTGGCCTTTGAGATCTTCTCTGTGGTCCCCCCAAACTGGGGATTTGGCATTGAAGTCGCCGGCAACTATAACTGCACCTTGGGAATTTCGAACGCTCCCCTCGAGCCTGTCTAAGAAGTCGACGAATAACGTATAGTCTGTGTTAGGTGACCAGTAGCACGAATAAATTGTGATTTCATCCAAGGCAACCCATCGGAATCCATCGTTGTCTCTGCGGCCAATTTCTCGCACTCGTATCGTGGGGTTAGCAATGAATACTGCCGCTCTGCTTGACGTGTCAGAAAACCAACCTTCTTCCTCTGTCCCGCAGCGAAAAGGTTCGCTGATGATCAGAACATCCGCACCATGCTCACTAGCTGTAGCTATTAGCAGATCTTGTGCGTTTCTCCCGCCATACACGTTTATCTGCATAATGTTAATCATTGCAGATCACTACCAGATGACGATGCCTCGCTTTCCCCGGTTCCTGTCCGGGCCTCCATCGACTCCTTCTCCAGTATAGACTTGAAAGCTGCAGCTTCGGCCGCCTCCGCTTTGCAGTCTTTAGCCAAGTGCCCTATTGTCCCACACCGCCTGCAATTTTTTCCGCGGTCTGTTCCCTGGCATGTCTTGGTGTCGTGCCCGTGAGCAAGGCACTTAAAACATCTTGCAATTCTTCTTTCTGCCTGTCGTACTCTGCAGCTGACGACGCTGATCTTTAGCCGGCCTTTCTCAACAACGTCGCGTGCTTGTCTCGTGGGCAGGAGTACCAATGCTGTCTGCGTGCCCCCATAGGAAGCTCTTAAGTTGACAATGTTAATGTTCTCCTTGGCAATTGGAGTCTCTCTTGCGATGCAAACAGCGATATCTTCTTTGTCGGTCCACGCATCAATGTCACGGATTTCGAGCATTGTTTTTTGACCTAGAAGCCTAACGCTGACATGTTGCCCCGCTGATTTGACCACCTCGGATCTTATGGCCTCTACAGCTGCTTCATCACCACGAACCTCCATAAGTATTCCGCCGTTCTTAGCTTTCTTCATGCTGGTTATTCCGTTGCAAATGGTCTTGCCATCCATGCCATCTTTGATGCATTTGGCCAATGCAGGGAAGTCGTTGCAGCTAGCAACATCTATCATAATTGTGGGTGGCCGCGTCCTGATTCGTTGTTGCCTAGCAGCCAGCGGTGGGCTGGTAGCCGTCCCTGGTGTTGGTATTGCGTCAACAGCATTCTTCTTGTTCTTGCGTCTGACCACATCCGTCCAACTGGCCTCCTGCCCCATCTCTGCCATTTTGCTCATCTTTACATCCTGCTCCACCAGCATCGTCTGTAGGTTCGTGATTCCTGCATGCTCCTCCGGCTTCTTGTCGGCTAGTTTCCTTACAGCTTTTCTAAGCTCCCCCACCTCCATTCTCAGCGAGCTGAATTCCTTGGCCAGGTTGTTAGCCAATGATGGGGCGCTGTCGCCGTCGCTGGTGGTTGCCTCGTGTGGCTTTTGTAGCGCCTTCATTCTGTGTTCTGCGATGGTTTCCGCGTTTTTGAATGCTGAAGCCGCGTCATAGTATGCCCTGGACACATTGTCCCTGCTACCTTTTAGGGCCGAGATCACCGACAAAATGTCATCGATCGCAATCTTGTTGGCTTCGCTGCGAATTTTATCAGCTACCTCCGCCAGGGCGTGCGCTTTCGCAAAAAGCAGCTTCAGCTCTCCGTTCTGTGTCGTTATACTTTTGCCCAGCTCCCTCACCAGCGGATACGCTGGTTCCCACCTTGTCGGGGCCTCACCGATCGTACCATCTGCCATGGGATCCATGACACGGACTCTGTTACCACTTCCCGTGTGTCGCCTAGTTGTTGCCTCGGCAATGAAACAGCGCAGGGACCAAATCTGACCTAATCTTTAGCTAACCTTTACCTTGACATATCGAACACTCAAGTTTTTACACACGTAGAAGGCATTTTGTATTGTTAAAAAAATAATTTAAAACTAAACCTTACTATCTTTAAGATGATAACATGCAGCTGTAATTATTGTTTTTATTTTAATGTAGTGAATAATTTTTTTTTTGTTTTAGAACTGTATTCAAGGCGGAAGGAATCAACACATCTGAAAGGGATATTAAAATAGAAAGAGATAATATTGAAGGATATCAATTTGTTTCTTCAGTCATTATGGTAGGAAATACTTCTGAATTAAATAGAAGCAAGAATTCGAACAAGAGATCAAACCCTAGCAAAAAATCTAGAAAAAATACATTTTATAAATGTGATACCTGTGAGAAGGAGTTTAATCAAAGATCACATTTAATAGCACACATAATGATACACACCGGTTCAAAACCATTTCAATGCAATATTTGTGATAAGGCGTTTCTTCTTCAAACAAATTTAAACAGAGACAAAATGATACACACCGGAGAAAGGCCATATAAGTGTGATACCTGTGAGAAGGAGTTTAATCAAAAATCACATTTATTCACACACAGTAGAATACACACCGGTGAATGGCCATATAAGTGTGATACCTGTGAGAAGGAGTTTAATCAAAGATCACATTTAATAGCACACAAAATGATACACACCGGTTCAAAACCATTTCAATGCAATATTTGTGATAAGGCGTTTCTTCTTCAAACAAATTTAAACAGAGACAAAATGATACACACCGGAGAAAGGCCATATAAGTGTGATACCTGTGAGAAGCAGTTTAATCAAAAATCACATTTATTAACACACAGTAGAATACACACCGGTGAATGGCCATATAAGTGTGATACCTGTGAGAAGGAGTTTAATCAAAGATCACATTTAATAGCGTGTGTTCAATCATGTGTGCTTTACCTGTACGCTAGCACCTACGTACCATGCGCGTCCGTGTAAAGGCCAAAACTCAGCGTTTTCGCGAGTGTTCAAACCGGCGCGTGGCGTGCATGTATTTCACACAGTTTTAAAGGGAAGTATCTTACCAAACCATGTGATATTCTTTTAGTCCTAGTTGTGTCGTTGTGTCGTTGTATCGTTGAGTTTTGATTTCGGTGTTCTTTAGTGAAGTATTTTCAAATAAAAAATTATTTAAAATATATGTTAATCAATATAATATATTATATAAAAATAAATACCCGTTTTTTAAAATTTTTTTTTATACATTCGCTTATTTTAATAAAATTGTACATAATCACCATGTTAAAAGTAAAGCAAAAAAAAAATGGCCATTGCGTCTATGGGTGTAGTTTCATATTTAAATTCATTGAATAAAAAAAAAACGTTCCAAGTGGGTTAAGACTTGGAAACTTTACCTAAAAAAATCTAGTGATATTGTTTTATTACGTGAGCTCCGCCAAAATGATCCGGACGATTTTAAAAACTACCTAAGAATGGACGGTGAAGATTTTGATTACCTGTTGAAGATAGTGGGCCTTATGATGAAAAAGCAAGACACAATTATGCATGAGTCTATTAGTCCAGAAGAACGTTTGGTAGCAATACTGCGATTTTTGGCAACGGGGAGATCTTACAAAGATCTGAAGTTGAGTATGAGAATATCTGCTCCTAGTCTATCACACATTATTCCGAAGACATGTCTAACAATTTACGAAAGTCTAAGAGCAGAATATATGAAGTTAAAACAAAATATATTTTAATAACAATTTAAAATAAAAAACTTGTTCAACTCAACTTAGTTGTATTTAAAAAAAATTGCAATGCCTTTTCACAAGATATCATTATACAATTGTTGAAATATACAATTAATATTAGTATTCAAACCATGTAAACACACGTGCGTGTACAATGTCGTTTTCTAATAGATACTTATGCAGTTACGATATAGCTGTGTAACACCTTTACTATCGCTTTCTATATTATATACGGATACGGGATGGCCTCGATTGTTCATATAAATAGGGCCTTTGATGTATGTAATAATCACTTGCACAGACGCTATCATACCGAGTGTACGCGGTGTGTGTGTATAGTCACAGTTTAATTGTCCAGTTGTACGTTATTATATATTATACTTATACATAATCATATTGTCGTGTTATTACTTATTATATTAATGCTAACATCATTAGTCCGTCAAGCTTCACTTTCAACAGGTTATGGACCCAGTCAATAACCAAGACATACAGTCTAGTGGATTCGTGATCGAAGTATTTTTATATTTGTATTAACGCAGAAAACTACAACCAGTCGGAGATATACTGGATTTCGGAAAACGGCGGAACAGTGTACATAGGTAAAGTTTTGTTATAAATTGTTATACAGGTCAAGTATACGGGAAATCATCGGTCATGGAAGACACGGTGAAGATAACAAAATTATGTGCGGAAAACTGGTCGTTATGGAAGTTCCAGATGAAGGTCATTCTAAATGCCTTGGAAGTAGGTGAGATAGTTTCAGGTGAATGGACGAAACCAAGTCTGCCTATAAAAAAGTCGGCAAGAGAGACCGACGAGGATGCCAAAGCACGTTGGCAAAGGCAGACAAACGCTTGGCAAAAAGCGGACGGTAAATGTCAGAAAATAATAGTTACCTCAGTGGACGATGGTCCATTACAATATTTGATTAACTGTGAGACTGCATTTTAAATGTGGGAGAAACTGCTGAGTATTCACGAGCAGAAGTCTGAGGCAAGTATACATTTGCTTCAACAACAATTTTTCAGTTATTCAAAGGAGTCGACAGATGACATGTCGACGCATATTTCTAAATTGGTCAATTTAGGAAGGAAACTGAGAGTAGCGGGTGAACCAGTTACGGATAACATGGTTATGACAAAAATACTAATGACATTACCAAAAGAATATAATCATTTTTACAGTGCTTGGGATTCAGTCTCAACGGGAAGTAAAAATATAAATAATTTAACTAGTCGGTTGTTGATTGAAGAATCACGGGTTATCCAGATCAAAGGTGAAGTTGGTGAACAAGAGAAATCGAGTGCATTTCCAGCCAAATTTCAAAATAGATCCGATGGAAAAAACGGCAGTTATGGTAAAGGTAAAAAACAATTTACTAATAAAAGTAATGTTAAATGTTATTACTGTGGTAAAATTGGTCATTATAAAAGAAACTGTAAGAATTTTCTAAGTAGTATGAAAGGTGGGAAAACCGGTACTACAGGTACAAATTTAAATGCATTTGTAAGCGAGTCAAGGATAAATGAAACTACAACAGATACGTGGGTTTTAGACTCAGGCGCGTCGGATCATATGAGCGCGAACCTAGAATGGTTTACAAGTTATGAACCATTGAAATATACACAACAGGTAACAATAGGTGACGGAACAAATCTATATGCAACAGGAAAAGGTAATATTAATATATTATCATACGTGAACGGTAATTGGAATAAAAATTACTTGGCGAATGTATTGCACGTGCCGGGATTAAAATTTAATTTATTCTCGTGCGGGTCAGCGTTAGACAAAGGTTTAGAACTAACGTCAGACAATAAAACGTGTGTATTCAAAAGAAACGGGATTCCTGTATGCATAGGCACAAGATGCGGTAGGTTGTTTGAATTACAGATCAAAGTTGAAGCACCATCGAAAGCTGAATGTTTTGCGAACATTGCAGTAGAAAAACGATTAGAAGTATGGCATAAGCGTTTAGCTCACCAGAATATTCAATACGTGAGGAATTGTTTGGCAAAACATAATATTGATTATTCAGCCAAGGACGATCAATTTGTATGCAGCGACTGCATAATCGGGAAACAACACCGTCAATCGTTCAGTAAAAGTGAGACCGAATATTTTAACGTCGGCGATTTAATACATGCAGATTTATGTGGACCGATGTAGAGGGACTCTATCGGTATGTCAAAATATTTTTTACTATTTAGAGATGACTACTCACATTACAGAACGGTATATTTTATTAAGAATAAATATGAGGTAAAAAATATTATGGAAACATTTATAAAAAGTGTTAAAACAGAAACAGGATCTAAAGTCAAAATATTAAGGACAGATAATGGGTTAGAATTTGTAAACAAGGATATTACAGGTATTCTACAGAAATATGGCATACGACACCAAACTACGGTAGCATATACGCCGAAACAGAACGGGAAAGTCGAGCGTGATAACAGAACAATCGTAGAAGCTGCCAGGACAATGATATGTGCGTAAAATCTTGACGTGTCATTATGGGCAGAAGCTGTGAACACAGCGGTTTATACACTTAATCTAACTGGAACGAGTTCACAGATTGGTAAGCCACCTTACGAGTTATATTATAAAGTCGTGCCAGATATTAAACATTTACGAGTTTTTGGTACTGCGGTATATACACACATACCAAAGCAAAAACGTCAGAAATGGGATCCAAAAAGTGAAAAAGGAATATTTGTTGGATATTCGAACAGCACGAAAGGTTATCGTGTATGGTATTCGAAAACAAATAAAATATCCGTGTGCAGAGACATTATATTCGGAGACGAATGTAATAATTATGAAAATGTAATTGCAGACACATTAGAGTTTACAGACACTCAAATTAATTCAACGGGCGTGCGTGAGAAGGACGAAAACATAGTCGATGATAGAAATGTTATGGTTCTACGTGACAGGAATACACTTAAGAAGCCGGACAGGTATAATGTTCAGACTTTTATTGCTAACTGTGTCAGTCCATTGAATTATGATGAGGCAATTACTGGGTCAAACAAAAATGAATGGAATAATGCTACTAACGACGAAATTAATTCATTACACGAAAATCAGACTTGGACTCTAGTCGATTTGCCACAGGATAAAGTTGCATTACGAAATGCATGGGTGTTCAAAACCAAATATAAAATTGACGGTAGTATAGTATTTCGCCAGTGGTCAGATACGAATCAATAAGGGCGATATTCGCAGTAGCAGCTGTGGAAAAATTAATACTACGACAATTCGACATCAAGACAGCATTTCTGTACGGGGAAGTACAGGAAGAAATATACATGGTACAACCACCAGGTTACGAAGATGGCTCAAATCAAGTATGTAAGCTTCAGCGAAGTTTGTATGGCTTAAAACAAAGTCCAAGATGTTGGAATATACGCTTTAAGAACTTTTTGAATGCATTTGGTTTACAATGTACCGAAGCGGATGCATGTGTATTCAAAGCTGATAACAGCCAAATTATTCTTGCAATATTTGTTGACGATGGTTTAATCGCGGCAGATAATGAAGAGATAATAGAGAAACTTTTAACGAACTTGGAGAAAGAGTTTGAGGTTAAAAAGGGAAACTTAGAATATTTTCTAGGTATGCAGGTAAACTTAATGAAAAATGGTTCATTATTTGTGCATCAGACAAATTATGCATGTAGCATAATTAATAAATTAAATATGCTGGACGCCAAGGAACTTTCAATTCCGATAGAAAAATCACATACTATTGAGCAAAAGGAAGAATCGGAGATATTAAGTGAAGAAATACCTTATAGACAGGCAGTAGGTAGCTTACTGTTTTTATCGCAGGTAACGAGACCAGATATAGCATATGCAGTAAACTTTGCTAGTCGTTACTTAGCAAAACCAACTAAAGCTCATTGGAACTTGGTAAAACGGATTATACGATATGTCAAACGAACATTTAATTATGGCTTGTATTTTAATCATAATATACAATTGTCATTAGAAATATTTAGCGATTCAGATTACGCAGGTGACGTTCAGACACGACGTTCAACGTCAGGATTTCTATTCAGATACGGGTCGAGCATAATTTCATTGACATCGCAGAGACAACATTGTGTGTCATTGTCATCGACCGAGGCTGAATATATTTCGGCCAGTGAAGCTGTAAAAGGGATCATGTGGATTACGCGGTTGATAATAAGCTTATCAAAAACAGGTGATAAACAACCGGTATTATTCATTGATAATCAGAGTGCTATACGTTTAGTTAAGAATCCGGAGTTTCATAAGAGGACAAAACACATAGACGTACGATATCATTTCTACGGGAGAAATACGAAGAAGGACAATTCCAACTACAGTACCTTGGAACAGAGGACCTGATTGCGGACATTCTAACCAAGCCATTGGTTAAGGAACGATTCGAGAAGTTGCGGTCAGCCATAGGAGTGACTACAATTAAAGAAATTATTAATTGAGGGAGGGTGTTGAAATATACAATTAATATTAGTATTCAAACCATGTAAACACACGTGCGTGTACAATGTCGTTTTCTAATAGATACTTATGCAGTTACGATATAGCTGTGTAACACCTTTACTATCGCTTTCTATATTATATACGGATACGGGATGGCCTCGATTGTTCATATAAATAGGGCCTTTGATGTATGTAATATTCACTTGCACAGACGCTGTCATACCGAGTGTACGCGGTGTGTGTGTATAGTCACAGTTTAATTGTCCAGTTGTACGTTATTATATATTATACCTATACATAATCATATTGTCGTGTTATTACTTATTATATTAATGCTAACATCATTAGTCCGTCAAGCTTCACTTTCAACATGCATGGTATAATTTGGTTCAGAATTATGAATTAATGATTTTTACTTCAACTACATTTAATGTAATTATTTATAAATAAAAATGCTAAAATTTTATTTAACTATTATACTATTTCAATAATTAATCAACTATTATTGTGTACCTATACTTGTATAAT